CATTTCCATTCGCTGAGGGGGATAACGGATTGTTAAATGTAAACCTATAAACATATATCAAAATACATGAAAGTTGTCCTAAATCTTGTTTATTTGTCAATGACGCTTTTTTTATTATCAGATCAAGTTCTGTGACAGTGGGTGCCATACCATGATACTAATGTTTAATTTCCTCGTATCAAAAATGCCGCCGTTGCCAGTTGCTCCGGTGACATTCTATTCTACCGTGGAGGATTAGTCCGCGGGACAAAATTTATGTCGAACATCATCCGGCGCGGGAGTAGACTCGGAGACAGCGAACCAGAGACCGGGGGCCTACCTGAATCGCAAGCAGTTTAAATTTCTTATTACTGCTTCCGCCCGGGAATTGTTCAGCGACTTTTACTCGTTTTAGAAAGTGGAAAACTTCCAAGGAGGAATTACAATCATTAAAATAGGGAAGTTATTTTTCAAGGGAATGGACTCACTTTGCGGCGGAAGGGATGTCGACTTGCATTATGGGAACGACCTTTGCGTTCACTTGACAGGTTGTTACTAACGATGGTTTATTGTAATGTTGAGCCTTAATGTGATGCAGCCACAAAGGCAGTGCCTAAATACTAAAGAACCACGACTGGCGTAAACTGACAGAGAAAAAGAAGTTAAAGACATCTCACGAAAATGTTTGATGTGTGTCATTACTAATTTTTCTGTGATGTGGCTTAATTGCACACAACGCGGGCGCGGTGGCGATTTCTTTTAGTGCTCCTAAAAATTTTAGAATACACAAAAATCATAATTTATAACTTTGAAAATAGCATGTCTCCAGAAAGGACAACATATTAATAACCCGTCGGGTACAGCTAATAGATATGTTCCATTGGCAGCATATTCGGTAATAATTTTCTCACACAGCAAATATCACTGATTTTATACACATGCTGACCAATACACATAATCATCAAGATGCGATCTTGCTATTCAACCAACTTTCTTTACTTCACATCTTCTCAGAAAACTACAGACTACTCGGCTTCACAAAATATATGCAACCAACAATGCGTGTACTTGAGTCATTCCTCCATAGATGGACGTTCACAACGATCCCAGTGAGCGAACGTGGAATGACTGTTTGCACCCTAGAGGCTACCAAGCCTGCAAGATGACATTTTATAGATGTTTTTGACATTTTATAGGTTTTTTACATATAGTCAACGCCAAACAAAGTGGCGTGCACGTCATCACGATAAAAATTCCCCGACCTAATGCCTAGGTTTCTATCACAAACAATTGCTCTATTGCAGTTTCATATTAATGTGATATATAAATTGTAAAATGGTCATTACTCTCTTATTATGGTTAATAGTCATATAAACATTGTTATTAAAATATCACATAAGTTGCTTTCTGATAAATTTAGACGCATTATGAGAAATAAAATGTTTTGCAAACGCTCCAATCACTTATCGACATGTAAACGCACTAAACCGATTTCGCAGCGTTGACACATTGTCACCTTGAAACTTATTAACTGGGAACTGACATTTGTATTAATTTTGACACTGAATCAATTTGTGGCATTTCAAATCTTTATAAATCCTTTGGCCCCGCATACTGTAAATCAACAACTGTTTGTTTCAAAACAAAATTATTCATTTTACGAGTAGATAAAGGCAATTTTGGTATATAAAGATGCCCAAACAGTTAAATAGTCGGTGTAAGGAACTCGTGGCCTCGTTAATGCACTACTTTGAGCAAGAAAGGGACAACAACGGGCCTTTGTTGCCTTTAAATGCTGTTCAAGAGGTAGGTTACTAATAATTATATGTAATGTATATTAATAATAGTGAAATTTTATTTCATTTTTTGTAGCGTGTTGCTGCTGCTTTAAAAATTAGTTTAAGGACAGTTAGTCGTATTTCCGAGGGTGTGAAAAGTGATGCAAATTTAGAATCGCCCAAGAAAAAGCGGAGTTATATTAAACGTGTAACCAACACAGCGACATTGGATACAAGTGCCATTCGAGAAGTGATCTATAATATGTATCACAAAAGTAAGATCTTATTATAATAACTTATCAGAAATTTGCATTAATTTGTTAACTAAATTATAATGTCATATTACACATGGTTTCAGAAGAACAAGTTACGATACAAACTTTATGGTCTCGATTAAGAGATAGGGCATTATTTGATGGTAGTGCCAGGTCTTTAAGGCGGTTGCTTAGAGATCTTGGATTTAAGTGGCTTAAGGACAATCCGCGACAAGGGCTCATGGAACTACCAAGTATAGCTTTGAAAAGGGTGGAATTTCTAAGGCAATACAATCAAGCCAAGGTTGAGGCCTTATACCAGTTTGTCTTCCTCGATGAAACTTGGATATTTCAAAATGGGACCATAGGTCGCTCTTGGCAAAATGGAAACCAAAAAAGCGTGAAAGCTATTAAAACAGATGGTAAAAGGTATGTACTTTTACACAATTTGCACTATAAAATTTAAAACTAATATATTTTAGATACATTATATTACATGCTGGAAATGAAAATGGGTTTATTGAGGGTAGTGAAGCGATATTTTCTTCGAAAACAAAATTGAGCGATTACCATGGAGAGATGAACCAGGACAATTTTTTGAAATGGTTTCAACATCAGTTATTAGAAAAATTGGAGAGTCCATCTATGATTATACTGGATAACGCCCCTTATCACAGCATGATATTGAACAAAGTGCCCAACAATGCATGGACAAAAAAAAATATCCAAGACTGGTTGACAAATCAAAACATACCATTTTTAAACACAATGTTTAAAACAGAGCTATTGAGTATTGTTGCTCGGTACATAATGCTTCTTAATTATATATATTTTGGTCGACAGTTTATATTTCTTTTGTTTATTCCTATTCTTAAAATAACTGCTTTTTTAGAAACAAACCACCTAAAATATACGTGATTGATGAATTGGCGGAACAACATGGGCACAAAGTTCTTCGTCTGCCTCCTTACCATTGTATATTTAACCCTATTGAGTTAATTTGGGGCATAGCAAAAGGTTACTATAACAGACATATTGGTAGAGATGGTAACAGTGAAAAAGACTGTTTGGATATGTGGAACGAGGCTCTACAAACGGTTACCCCAGACATGTGGAAAAATAGTGTTCAACATACTGAGCAAGAAATTTTTAAATGGTATGAAAGAGAACGAATTTTTGATCGACCAGACATCGAACCTTTAATAATCAACTTTGAGAGTGATGAAGATTCAGATTCAGACAGCGCTGAAGAAAGAAACTCCGACTAACTTTATTGTACAGAAAAAGCTTACACCAGTAGCTTACCTAATTTTAGAATGCATTTTTCTGTATGAATTCTGTAAAATAAATACCATGCATAAAATTTGGAGGACCCCATTTGGATTTTTATTCAGTACCTTTAAGCTATCAATTAAATATGGTAGTTTCATAGTGTCATCTGATCAATAATTGTCATACTTAATGATTATGCAAGTACAGATCTATAATTTTATTATACTATTATTTTTGTTCTCATTTGAAATTTTTCAACACACCCACCTTGATGACGTGCACGCCACTTTGTTTGGCGTTGACTATAATACCCGATTATCTCCTTGAATTTTCTGTGAATATTGAATCATCTTAGATTAGTTCGAATCTCCTTAAAATGAAAAATATCCCATCCTTTACTACCCCATTGATATGGACCCATAGTAGCAGCAGAACTACAGACAGAAAAGTATTTTGAGCTGCACCAAATACCGAAGTAATGACCTTCTCGCATTTTGTCAAAGATAAAAACACTACCAGTCTCTTCAGTTAAGTGGCAATCATAAGTCGGCACTTCAAATGCCTGCATCCACGCAAGTGTGGTTCGAATTTAACGTGGAGGGAATGTAACGGACAAGTGATTTCAAAATGCTCCCCTAATTCTCCAAATAATTGTAAACATACCTTCTTCTTGCACTTCAAGCTATCCTCGAGGCAGAATGTAAAGATGGTGGTTAGTAACCTGCTAGTGGTTTATTTTCAACTTTGACTGACTGCAACGGTTGAAAGGTTAAGCCTGACTTTACATCATTTTATCTTAAAAACGAAGCTGAAATTATCTGATTTTAGCGAGACAAAGTTCAAAGGTCGAAGAGCAGATCTCAAAAAAAAACTCAGGGGCACATTTTTTCTTGGAACACTTCTTTCGGGAGAATTAAACATGTTATTATACTTCTAGGAATCGCACTTTAAAAATATAATTTTGAACTATCCCCTATTAATGTTATCATCTTTACATGTGAGCGGTTCCATGATGAACACAGGCCACAGCGTGATCTTCACAGTAGACAATGACAGGGGCACATTTTTTCTTAGAACACTACTTTCGGGAGAATTAAACATGTTATTATACTTCTAGGTATCGCACTTTAAAAATATAATGTTGAACTATCCCCTATCAATGTTATCATCTTTACAGGTGAGCGGTTCCATGATGAACACAAGGCCACAGCGTGATCTTCACAGTAGACAATGACAGGGGCACATTTTTTCTTAGAACACTTCTTTCGGGTGAATTAAACATGTTATTATATTTCTAGGTATCGCACTTTAAAAATATAATTTTGAACTATCCCCTATCAATGTTATCATCTTTACTGGTGAGCGGTTCCATGATGAACACAGGCCACAGCGTGATCTTCACAGTAGACAATGACAGGGGCACATTTTTTCTTAGAACACTTCTTTCGGGTGAATTAAACATGTTATTATATTTCTAGGTATCGCACTTTAAAAATATATTTTGAACTATCCCCTATCAATGTTATCATCTTTACTGGTGAGCGGTTCCATGATGAACACAGGCCACAGCGTGATCTCCACAGTAGACAATGACAGGGGCACATTTTTTCTTAGAACACTTCTTTCGGGAGAATTAAACATGTTATTATACTTCTAGGTATCGCACTTTAAAAATATAATTTTGAACTATCTCCAGTCAATATTATAATCTTTACAGGTGAGCGGTTCCATGATGAACACAGGCCACAGCGTGATCTTCACAGTAGACAATGATACGCGGCATCATATCAACCTCACCGGTGGTCCGCTGTCCTACAAATACCAGTTCCAAGAGATACATGTACATTATGGGCTCCACGACCAGTTTGGATCGGAGCACTCGATTAACGGATACGCTTTTCCTGCCGAGGTGAGTTCTTCACATGTTTTTACAGTAGACAAGGCTCAAAGGATGAAAAGCTATCGGCGTTTTTAAGGAACTGAGAATTTTTTGTGCCAAAACTATTAAGACTTACAGTTCTGATAATCAAGTACGTCTCGTGATCTTCAAACAACTTCCAGGTATCGAAAATGTATGATATGATAGTAGATTTGTAAAATAGTAAAAAAAACTAGTCCCAATAAATTGTAAAGTACTATATTTAATAAAAATACCCGATATATAGAAATCAGTTTTTCGTTCAAAGTTATTTCATGTTTACATACCGACATAAAAGATGGCGCACCCTGTATATATATATATATACTACAAGCTATGGAGTGTGGACTCGGCTACTGATTCCAGAGATTAAAGTTCAAAGACGCTCCTTGGGGTACGTCTAATGGACGATTTACATTTCCATTTCAAAATGTATAAATACAGTGGACCCCCGATAATCCGGTCCCTGTCTAATCCGGCGCCCCCTGTAATCCGACATGTCTTTGAATATGTATTATATATATATAGGTATTTGACAATCTTCGCTAATGTAGATCACGCAGGTTTAAACAGGTTACAACTTGTACGCGCCACCGCTATCGTGGTCGCGCGTAAGCATTGTTTTACTTAGTTTGAATTTGACTACTTGTGATAGCGGTACGACCTAGCGTGCGTTCATTGTTTACTATTTATTCATTGTGTATTAGGTATAGTACCTAGTAATGTCATCACAAACTCAGAAGCGAAAGCACAAAACATTGACAATTAAAGAAAAATGTGATATTTTAGAACGCTTAAATCGCAATGAAACTTTCAGTAGTTTATTTAGCAAGTAAATACGGCGTAGGCCGATCTACAATTTATAACATTAAAAGAAACCACGAGAAGATCAAGAAGTTCGTGTCAACTACTGACTGCGGGCCAGGCAAGCGACAGACACTCAAGAAAGCTAAACATCCAGAAGTGGAAGAAGCTTTGTACATGTGGTTTCTTCAGGAAAGAAATATGCATGCACCAATTTCAGGACCCATGTTGGCCATGAAAGCTAAGTTTTTTTATAAGGAAATATCAAAAAAAGATGATTTTGTGGTCAGCAAAGGATGGCTAGAACGTTTTAAAAGTCGTCATGGCATACGTTTAATGACTATTACAGGAGAAAAACTTTCTAACGATGCCACCTGCATAGAGCCCTTTAAATTAAGATTTTTGCAAAAGGTGAAGGATTTAAATCTTGACCCGTCACAGGTGTACAATGCAGACGAATCAGGGCTTTTTTGCGTGTTATGCGTAACAAAACATTCGTTTCTTGTAACGAAAAATCCGTACCTGGACGAAAAGTAAGTAATCTAATAAACCAAGGGCATTCAAAAACATTGATTTACCTGTACACTATTACGGAGAAAAAAGTGCATGGATGGCAAAAGACCTTTTCAAAAAGTGGTTTGATGAATGCTTCGTACCTGAAGTTAGAAAATGGTTAATAGATCATAATTTTCCTCAAAAAGCGTTGTTGCTTCTTGATAACGCTCCCGGTCATTCGTCTGAAGAAGACCTAACAACTGAGGATAAATGCATCACTGCGATGTTTCTTCCGCCAAATTGCACTGCACTGATTCAACCAATGGACCAGAATATCATTCAGTTTGTCAAGCAAGACTATAAGAAAAACCTACTTCTGAGAGCCGTATCAAAAGACCAACCAATAGAAAACACTTTAAAAGAATTTAATATGAGACTTGGTTTTTGCTCTTTGTCAGTCATGGAATGCGTTTCCGTCATCAACTATTAAATCGTCTTGGAAAAAGTTATTGCCAGATATAGTCACCACTCTTAGCAACGTTCCACAAATCAGTGTTACCTCGGAAGTTATAGAACAAGTCGCTACTGAAACACAGATAAGTCCGGAAGATTTGGAAATCTGATGCCGTGGAATGGATAAAGAGGAAAATGTTTTTCATGAAATGTCTGACGAAGAGATTATAAAAGAGGTTTCTAATTATACAACAAACAATCAGGAAAATAACGACGGCGTGATTGCAACTGCTCCACAAGTCACAGCACAAGACGCAATTATCGCCTTTGAGCTAGGTTTACTATTGGCTGAAGAGAATGGTACATTCTACAACGACCTTTTATTTTGAAAAGACTGAGGGACAATGCTCTGGTCTCGCGTTATAACAACCTTAAACAAAACAAAAAATTGATGAATATTTCCAAGCTTCATAATTTGATAAATTCATTAATGATTTTGATTAATAATTCTTGATTATTTTGGTACATATGTATGTGCATTTATGCTTAATTTTATAATAAAACGTAAGCTCTCTATTGTTATTTAATTTACTAAATTCGACATACATAAACTATGTATGATTTGTACTTCAAAGTACATACATATACATAACATATATAATCTTACCATTGGATATATAATTTGTCGGATTACAAGGTACTCTTTTTGTAAAAAATTCCGGACTATAGGGGGTCTTAGGCAGTGCTCTATATTCCGACAAATTCGATAGTCCGACACTGCCCTGCATAATGTTTGTCTAACTTAACTGTATATTAATTAGGAAGATTGGAGATATTGGAGATTTTAAAATGTCGAAAATGTGCAATTTTCGAAAATAGTGAATACTTTCAAAATTTTGGAACGTAATCTCAACTGTTACAGCCTACCTCAAAATGCAAATGTTAAATACTCCCTTGAAGGCTCTTGTTTGTCTAAAATTCAACGAAAGGTCATTCCCCGAACGGCACTCAGTCCTCAAGCAACATTTATTGATGTATAAATGTGATCCTAGAGTCAGCTATTGAAAGCTAGATACGTTACAGTTCCTTAGTAAGTAGTAAAGAATAAATACACTAGCAACACGTATTGCGATACTCCTTAGAGTCACTTGAATGCAGTAGGTGGATTGCCTGCCAAGGACAACTGTAACTAACGCATGGCGAAAGGCTCACTGCTGACTATTTTGTGAGGCGTGTAGATGATGGCGAAATTGGTTGAAAATGCAGCAAATGGTGAAACAAACCTCCTTCTTGTATTTGACAGTAACCTAGCCTGTGCCACCATTTTCTGGTGTAACATATTGGCAATGCGGCAGATTGCATGACCATTGCTAGGCGATGTGGTGATGAGCTTCGCTCTATCTCTTTCTAACATGTGTTGATACACACTTCTCGCGCTTCTCTCTCGTAAAAATTGAACTCAAGCCATCTGACAAATATGGTTTTCCCTGTATATATTCCATCGAGGACTGAAATAGTAAAATCGGATCTATACCGTATAATGTCCGGAGCAGTTGACAAATGTTCTTTTTTATCTCACAACGTCAAGACGAGTGTTCCGCAGGGATTATCAACGGATAATAGTACTTTAACATGCGAAAATTCAGAGCGTCAGATCACTGTGGTTGAGATGGAAAGTAGGAGATTGGCAAGGCTTTCTCTCTAACGTAAGATTCAAAGATGCAAGAATATGGTTCTAACAGTTGCATTACACAGTACTTTGTAACAGGTATTTGAGATCTGTAGGATTTTCAAAAATTTACAAATTTGTACGGTTTTCGACATTTTCAAAACTAGCAATCATTTAAAAAAACTTAGAAGTTCGAGTTTTGAAAAGGCATGTGATGAGGTCAACATACAGCGAAACCCCACAACAGGTTGTCTGCTGGGTATTGACATACATATGTAGTATGCCAAAGTCGCATAGAATGTGCACTGAGTACTCTTTTAAAGAATTAAAGAATTGAATCTACAATCTATAATGGAATAGAGTCTCCTATGGCTGCTCGTAAGTTCTAAAATATATATTTTTTCTGATTTTATGGCATCTTTACATTTCACGGTTTTCTATTTCTCCTTACTGGGTATACTTATCTTGAGAGATTCTCAGTAACAAACAACAAGTTCTTAATACTTAGTTATAAACTACGTATTTTATAACCCGCACCTGTTGTAGTTGAACCATGAACTTCTGTTAAGAGCCACAAGACGGTAGCTGCTGCTGAATATAATGCGTATCCTTAGGAGGATATCCTATAATCTCTAATAGGCTCTGCGGTTTCACGACCATTTACAATGGTTGACCTACCTGTTTTGTTATTGGTTGCGGCGGTACATTTGGAAGTTGGCAGCAGGCGGCAGGAGCGTTAATTTTGCGTCTCTCCGGCAATTTACGCGTGAACTTTGTTTAATTTAGGAGAGATGTAGCGCAAAATTGCGAACTAAGGCGCCCAAGCCAGCCAGAAGGTTGTTCCCGATGAGTAATCGGTGTTAGTTTACGAGTTTCCAAAGATGAGAGATGTTTATGAGAACTTTTGGATAATTAGCGAGTTTGTGTGTTTTGGCGAAGCTTCAACTTGTTTACCCGGTGCACAGTGTTCATTTTCCAGACCTATAAGTTGGCATCTCTGACGTCAACAATTATTGAGAAGACGGTCAACACCCACAAGGTTATCACCCAGGTAAATGGTTGTGGCTATTGCAGATGATACAGTCAGGTTCGGTCACTGTTCTTGAGGCACAATGGCGCTCCAGTTTAGTTAGTCAATAGATCATACTGATGTTTTGACTACCAAATTATTGCAAGTCTTGTAATTATACAGGGGATCCTTAATGATATGCGAATATTTAAGGGTGTGAATCTACATGAAAAATTATTGTTAGTTTGCTTTATAAACTATTGTTCAAAAATGTTTCCTTACAAAAACTCGGGGTGTTGAAGTTTTAGGAAAAAAAATGGATATTAATTAACATTTTTAGAACCGCTTCAGATATTTCACTGATATTTAGTACGTAGTGGAAGTTAATAAGGTTGCATATGTTTCAATGAAAAAATAATTTTTAGCTTTAACAGTGGCGTGCGTACGGGTATTGACTTCGATATTTAAGAAATAATTATTTTTGAATTCCCCGTTCAATTTAAAACAAACGATCTCTCGTGAATTTTTTTCCTCCAATGCGCCATTTTTGAGTAAAAAAAT